TGGAACAAAAGAGAGGTCTGTTCTGGAAGCTTCAGAGTCTGGGCACTAGGCAAACCTTCAGCATCATTGGGGAACTCTTCCACCCTAGCCTAACTCTCATTTGTGTATGGGCTTCCTCCATATTTCCAAAAGACATTTAGTCCTGTACCCCCCACAGGGCAGAAGCGCCTTGGCCTAGTGATCTAAAGGAATTCATTCCACCAAAGAATGTATGCTCCCCAAAGAATGGCCCAGACACAAACCCTGCCCCCACCTCCACAGGCAGAGGTCGGGAGAACTGTGCCTAGCAAGGGGAGAGCAGGGCAAATTCAGAAGTAGGCTTGGAGCCCAGACTGTATTTTGGAGCAGCTGGCTTCTTAATTCCTAGGCCTGGGAGGAGGCAGCTCCCCTCCAATTCCCCACGGGGGCCTCCTTCCCTTCCCCCACTGGCCTCCTTCTGCCCTTTGCCTTTTCTGGATCTCCAACCCTGTGTTATATAATATTAGCCACAGTGGGGAAAATGCGTTCACTGGAGCTTGCAGATGAAGTTTACACAAAGTGTCTGGAGTCTTCGGATCTCCTGAAACCTGTGCGCAGGGGAACCCCCCCTCCCCCGCCCCCAGATCAGAGAATAGTTGCACACAAAACAATAGTGTTCCGATCCTGATTGATCCCAGACACCCTGTGTGACTTTAGATGGGCTCCTGACCATCTCTGTCCCCTGCTTTCCTTATTGTAAAATGAAGAATATTAAGAATAACTGCCTCAAAAAGTGTAAAGTAACCAAGGAATAAGCTCAGCCTGGAGCCAGTCAATGTAAGGTCTTATGGTATTTATGGTCATAGCTATTGGCCCTGTTATTACAGACAGTGGCTCAGGACAGAACGTAAAACCCAAAATGAGTAACCCTGGCTCACCCAGGTTGATGGGACTATGGAAGATGTCCAATTATTAGTCAGACCACAGCTGGATCCAGATCCCAGCACCCTCCCAGAACCCCTACAGCAGAGGAACTCTCTGAAATTCATGGACTGAGCAGTCTCATGGGACAAAAGCCACCCAAACTAGTCATGTTGAGTGGTACCAGACCTACACTGTTTTCTTGAGAGCAATCCTTACCAAAACATAGAAATGAACGGGGCTACCCAAACACCTGGGTTGAATCTAAGGAGCCTTGGGGATGAGTTAAGTGAACTATTATCCTTTGCTCAGAAATAATTTGTTTCATTTGGGTCTGTAGGGTCCCCTTAGAACACAAATCCATGACAATTCATGGGATGTTTATGTCTCCTCTTTGTTTGGGATATTCCCTAAATTGGAAGGTGAACAGGTTTTTGCCAGATCAATCCCTTCCATTGGAGATGGAATAAGGCCAGATCCTGGCCTTGTAAGCAGTGAACAATGACTCAGTGGTAATAATAGGTACATGGACAACAGCTTTTTGGTAGGTGCTCCTCTGAGGAGGAGATGGAGGAGACTCCAGAGTCTAGCTGCCTCCAGCTCCAGGCCAGCTGACTAGGGTGCCAATGTCTCCCTTGTACAGTGTAGGGTCCCAGGAAGGCATCTGGATGGAGACACAGTCTGACCTCGATGGCCAGGCTCCTTCCAGTCGTTCTTCATCCCTCTGAACTTTTTCATTCAGAAACTTGCTCTCCTTTTGAGTCTTGTGACCTCTCAACTCCTCTGAGAGGGCACAGTCTGGTGCAGAGCCATTCCCCTCCCACTGTAGAATCATCTTGACCTTATTTGCAGAATGGGAAACCCATCTGATATATTTGATGGGCAAGAACTGGGTGTTTCCTAGGACTGGGTAAATTCGGGTTGCCTGGGGTAACCCCCTACACTGATGCTCCTGCACTCAAGGGCCCAAAACTCTGGGGAGGGGTGTTCAATCACCAGAATACATTCAGGTTCTCTTGGCGGGGGAGCTACCAGAAGCCAGTGGAGTTGGGTTCCCAGGATTCTAGATGTTTCTCTCTCGTTCTGCCACATACTTTTTTCCCTTGAAGGTTGGGGGTTGGAGATAGGGTATGCCTTCAGATTGAGCAAAAGGTGGCTGGTTTCAAGTTGAACCGGTTTCAAGGTGGTCTGGGCAAAATGAACTGAGACAACAAAATGCCAGGTGGTACCACACTTCCCTGTGCCCTCAAACTGGCCATGCTCCTGAGTGTGTCTGGCTGAGAGGCCAACCAATTAGGCCAAGGAAGTAAATGTGCAGGTAGGGCAAGGCAGGAAGGGGAGGTGCACGGAGGTAAGATAGCAAATGACGGTAGAATGTCCACCCTTGACAAAATGTGAACAAAGATCTCAGAGACTTGGCAGTTTCTCAGAAATCCTCAAACCCATTGGTCTTCAGAAACTGTGAGATGAGTCACAGCAGGCATTGGACTTAACGTTTAGTCTTCATCAAAGGCTTGGTGTTACACCAGCAAAAGGCAGGGGCAGGATCCCGAGGGCAGGAAGTCAGGAGAGGGCAAATGTATCTTGTGCCCTCCTTTAAATCTTCCCTGCCTTCACTCCCTCAGGTTCCTCTCCGCCAGTCCCTAGATTTCGACTTCTTGTTACTCAGCTTAACATTTCCTCATGGCTTCCAGGGCTTTAGGGATGGTAGAGGCAGGTGACGTGTGAGAGACAGTGGGTGATGCATCAGGACCTGAGATGGATTGGGGGGGATTTCTATTATAACTATTTCTGCCTCAGATCACTCCCTCTACCCGCACTCCCCACCTCCTGAAAATGCAGGGTGGGCTTCAAACATTCCCAAATGGGCGGTCCCTCACCACCCTGGGACCTCCAGGCAAGAATCCTTTTTCTCTACTCCACCCCTTTAAATTCAGAGAGCCACACGCCTTGATTACCAACAGTTAAACTGGGTGAAGTAAGCCTGTCTCTGGTGTGCAGAGAACCCTGTGCAGAGAAAGCCTGTTCCCTGCCCCAGAGCAAGCTAAGTTTCTCTTCTCTCTCTCTCTCTCCCTCTCTCTCCTTCCTCCCTCCTTCCACATCCCCCAGTCCCACAGGGAGGGTCCCATTCTTCCAGTCCCACTCTCTGCCATGGTCCACAAATTTCTCCAGCTGCTCTTAGAACCCTTCTGTGGCCCAAGCTGTGTTTCTGGACCACACAGGCTACTCAGGAGTTTACAAACAAAGCGAGTCTGGTGTGTGGAGAAAAAAAGAGTTCCCCCCCCCCCCGGTTCCTACACACTCTCCCTTTCCTCCGTTTTCCAGGGGAAGACGTGGAAAATTAGGGCCCAACACAAACCATATGGAGTAGCAAACAAGAAGAGGGCCCCAGAGCACAGGCTCACTGTCGTACCGCAAGGGGAAAGAAAGACATAGCTGAGGTTCAGTCCCGCTCGCTCGTACGCCCAGAGGTTCATAACCCTTTAAAGAAAGACACACCGAGGACCACACACAAACTCACACATTAAACAACAAAAACCAGCCAAACACTTTCAAATAACGATGCACACAAAATGCTCGCCTAACGTTCAGAGACTCCAGGCCCTGGGATCCACAGCCACCAGGCTCACTGGTTCCCCGGCCTCGCTGTGAGTTTCCGAGAGCGCAGCCCCAGCCGCGGCCCGGCCCCTTCCCGGTCGCCACCCGGCATCCGGAACAGCTGGAGTCGGCCCTGCTGCACACTCAAGCCCTGTGCCCGGCGGGGCGGGGCGGGCAGCGGGGCCCTGGCCCTGGCCGGGGCAAACAGCAGCGGGGAAGCCCGGAACCCGCCCGGGTAACCCCGACACCTGGATGAGTTTTCGTAAGAAGCCGGTCGCCAGACGTGCGGTGGCCCTAGCTGGCCCCGAGAGCCGCGGCGGGAGGAAAGAGTGTGCAAGATTGCAGAAAGAGGTAGGGCGCCCGCCTCCGGCTCAGGCCAGGGTACAGGCGTGCAGAACCGCCAACTCCTCCCTCCGCCTCTCGGGGTGGGGGAAGACTGAGTTCACCAGTTCCCCTCCCCCAACCCTTAGGATCCCCACCTCTGTCCCGTGTCGCCCACCCAGGGCCGTGAAGCCCGCTCTGACCTCCTAGGGGCCAGCCTCGGGAGTCTTCGGCTTCTCCTTTCCCAGGCTCACGGCCCAGGGCTGGGGTTGGGGGGGACAAGAGAGTCCGGGAATAGGAGCGCCGGGGTCTTGATTTGGGATCATCAAAGTCCTCGTTGGGCAGCAGCGGGGCCCGCCCGGGCTCCAGTTCTTACCTGTCACTCCGCGACTAGGGCTCCAGGTACCTTCTCTAGCCCCACCACCGCGGCTTGCAGAGCCCGAGACCTCCGGACTGGTCCTGCCATCGCCACCGAGCCGGCGGGAGACGGGTGTACCCAGAGCGCCGCTCTCAGTTTGGGGTGGGGGCGGTGGCTTTTTAGTCACCCCAGGTTCGGGAGCAATAAAGACGCCTCTAATGTAATTTACAAACATCTCGGGCCGAGTCCGGCGGAGAGCCGGGACTGACAGGCGCATTAGGCAGGCTAATTCCAGCCGGCTCCTCCTACCCCCGGCCCGCTAATTAATGAGCTTCCCAACTTAGAGCCGCCTGCATTGGACAGACAGAGAGTGAAAGAGAGGGCGAGGGAGAGGTAGAGGAGAGGGACGGGGGGAGCAGAGTGGAGTGAAGAGAGGGAGGGAGGGAGGGAGAGAGAGGACGGGGGAGAGAGAACAGAGAGAAAGAAGAGAGAGGAGGAAGACGGGAGAGCGAAGAGAGAAAGAGAAGTGCCTCTGCAGATAATTGATTACTCCTCGATCAAGGCTAACTTGTTAGCAATAGTCAATTGCCCCGTCTCTCCGCCTCCCCTCGCAGTCCGGGATCGGCGCCCTCGCCTCGGTTCTTCCAACTGCCGCCGCCAGGACCCGGGGCCAGGAGCCGCCGCGGCGGAGCCACCTGACACCTTTAAATAGCACCGGGGCCGGCGAAACTGGAGCCCGGAGCGGCGCTTCCCGGCTCCGGCCCGGGCTTGCTGGAAACCCCGGCGGCGGCGGCGGCGGCGGCGGCGCCCGCGTTAGCGCTCTCCTCCCGGGGCCCCGCGCCGCTCCGCCTGCCCGGGTCGCCGCGCTAATCGGCCCGTTACCCGTCCGCGCCCTGCCCGGTGCGGCCTCCTGCCTTCCTCTCGCACCGTCGGGCGCCCGAGCTGCCCGCGGGCTGGGTCCCCGCGGCCCGAGCCGCCCCGGCCGGGCCCCCAAGCGAGGCCGAGATGACTTCCAAGGAGGACGGCAAGGCGGCGCCGGGGGAGGAGCGGCGGCGCAGCCCTCTGGACCACCTGCCGCCGCCCGCCAACTCCAACAAGCCACTGACGCCGTTCAGCATCGAGGACATCCTCAACAAGCCGTCCGTGCGGAGAAGTTACTCGCTGTGTGGGGCGGCGCACCTGCTGGCGGCCACGGACAAGCACGCGCCGGGCGGCTTGCCCCTGGCGGGCCGCGCTCTGCTCTCGCAGACCTCGCCGCTCTGCGCCTTGGAGGAGCTCGCCAGCAAGACCTTTAAGGGGCTGGAGGTCAGCGTCCTGCAGGCAGCCGAAGGTAAGCACAACCTAGCTTGCCCTGTGCCCCAGTTGCCCATCCTCAAGGTCCTGTGCTTCAAACCCCTTGCCTCTCTCTGCCCACGCCGGTCGTCAGGTCGCTCCAGCCCCCTTGCTTCTGCAGCTAAGACCCCAGTAGAGATAGGTGGGGCAGGGCCCTGTTTCCTAGGGACCCCTGAGTCCCGGATGATCTGAGAGAAGTGGGGAAACCCAAGATCTTCCGGGCCTTGAGCTTCACAGTGGCTCGGGTGTTCCCTGACTTACTTACTCCTGGAGTGGGGGAGAAAGAATCTTTTCCTGGAAACTTTTGGGTAGGTTGGAGTCCGGCCATTGGAAAGGGGTGGGAAATTCGTGTTCACATTTGGGGAGTCTCGGCTTGGGTTACCTTTACTCTGTGAGACTTTAGGTCTTTCAGACCAACTCTTAGGGAGCAGAGACCAAAACAATTTTTCCTAAGGACTTCCAGGAGATCAAAATAAGAGGTTTCCCATGGCCCAACTTGCTCTGGTGTAGAGAATGGGGTCAAATTGCAGAGGGAACAACAGCGAGACGGGCCTGGGTCTGGTGGAGAGTTATGGGATAGTCTGGGTGGGGTCTTCAGCGAGCGTACGCTGTCATTTCTTTCCAGGCCGCGATGGGATGACCATCTTTGGGCAGAGGCAGACGCCCAAGAAACGGCGAAAATCACGCACGGCCTTCACCAACCACCAAATATATGAGTTGGAGAAACGCTTTCTCTACCAGAAGTACCTGTCCCCGGCAGATCGCGACCAAATTGCGCAGCAACTGGGCCTCACCAACGCTCAGGTCATCACCTGGTTCCAGAATCGGCGCGCCAAGCTCAAGCGGGATCTGGAGGAGATGAAGGCCGATGTGGAATCCGCCAAGAAACTGGGCCCCAGCGGGCAGATGGACATCGTGGCACTGGCCGAACTGGAGCAGAACTCGGAGGCTTCGGGCGGCGGTGGCGGCGGCTGCGGCAGGGCCAAGTCTAGGCCGGGTTCTCCCGCGCTCCCCACAGGCGCTCCGCAAGCCCCGGGCGGAGGGCCCTTGCAGCTTTCACCGGCCTCTCCGCTCACGGACCAGCGGGCCAGCAGCCAGGACTGCTCAGAGGACGAGGAAGACGAAGAGATCGACGTGGACGATTGAGCGGCGCCCTGGACTTTCTGTCTCCCGGGCCCCCAGCGCCCGCAGGCCCGCCCGCTGCCTCCCGGACCGGACCGCCAAGGGGAGCTGGGACCTCCTCTGCATCTCCCGCCTCCACCCTTGCCCCGGGGCCCGGACTTGACTCCTGACAGTCGCCTCCTCCCTCTTGAAGCAATAAATCCGGGCCGGCCGGCGGGGCCGGCCGCCACACGCGGCCTCCGCCGCCCCGGAAGCCCTCGCCGTGCAATTCTGTATGGCTTCTGTATAAATATTTAAGCCTATATAGTGGGTTCCTCCCACCGCAGCCTGATCTTTTTCTTTATTTTATTTTGTTATTTTTTAATATCAGAGATTTCGATGTTTTCAAAGCCCGGGTGCTACCGGGTCGGCTGACGGTGAGGCGGACTCGAGAGCGGCGAACACTAACTCCTGCGGTCTAGAAGCTTTTTTCATTTTTCTCTGCATGTGGCGAATGCACCGTTCGCTCACTCCCTGGGCCTATTACAGTTGACTTTTCACTTCTTTCTGCCTCTTTTTTTCCCGCGTGAGAGGAGGGTGGGGGGGGGACGGACGGGCCTTGACTTGCAAGTTTCAAAATCCATCTTTTCTTTCCCCAGCGAGAGAAGTCTGTTTTCGATGGCGTGTCTGCCTCCCAATGTCACTATTTTTAAAAATTCTCCAAACCTTCTTGCATTTTCTCGGACTGACTGCTGGAGTCTGGCCTTTAGGGAAAACGCAAGGGAACATCCAAACAATCATCGAAAACAGACCCCAAAGCCCTAGAATTATTTTTTACTCTTTTTTAGATTTTTCTTTTGCATGTGATAAGAGATCGAAAGAAGGATGACCCAAAGGCTCACCCTCACCTCCTCTGCAGCTCTGGGTCTGTCTATCAACACCTCTCTCCCGCCTCAACTTGGCCATAGGAGGGTGGCCCGGTGAGGATGGGTTCCGGATGCCCCTTCCCAGCTCCTGCCCTGCCCTCTCTTTCTCGACTGTACCCAAGGCCTCTTTCTCCGATAAATAAAGTCTTTGCCATTTTACTAGAATGGGCCGCGACCGCATTTTCGAGAATGGGCCGGATTCACCCAAAGCTGCTATAGGTTAAGATTACCCCTGTTGCCCCTTGTGGGTCTGGCCTGCCTTGAAGATTAGGGGGGTTCAGGGCAGGATTGGGGGTGAGGGACAACAGGGACGCAATGGAAGGAAGTGATTTTTGCCCAGGCCCTTAAGCACGCTGCAGCTACTAAATGTACTGAGAAGCCTGCTTCGTCGGGTCGGGGTAAAAATCTAGGCTTGTTGATCGTGACAGAAAACTCGTTTGTACGTGGAAGGCACCAAGGCGAAGCAGGATTTGTCCTGCGGTTTTGTGCTCCATCGCTGAGCATCGCAATCTACCTATGCTCCCGCTAAACAGGGGTGCACTGGCAGGTGTCACTCTGTGGAACATCAGGGTGGAGCCTGGAGACCCAAGTTTTAGTCGCACCCTGAGGGCTTTAGCCTGGCTTAGGAGGCAGTGAAGGGACGAATATAAGGCTGAAGGCGACTAGGGCATATTGAATTGCACTTGTGGGCTTTCGGGTATGCAAGCCCAAAGCGTCTGGGGGCATGTAGTACTTTTCTAGTAACATTCACAAACGCTGGCCCAAAACTTGACCAGCAGCAGAAACCATAGGTGTCTCCGGGACTTCCTGGTTTCCTTGCGGCTTTGAGCCGCTGGGGCGGGGGCTCGGGCCGCTTTCACTTTCCTGAACTGAGTGTGGGGGAGTGTGCTCTCTCTGGGCTTTTGTTGTCGCTGGGCTGGCGAGTGGCCGCTGTCACCAGAGTTGGGTACCGCCTCCAGGCCGCTGAGCTCCCTTTCTCCGAAAAATTGATGTGAGAAACGCTGCATCTGGTCTCGGGCAGGCGATGGGGCCCTGGGGCCTGAGTCAGGAACGTGCGCGTCCAAGGAGGAAGCTAAGAGACAGCCAGAAACAGGGAAGGGAACATGGGAAAACTGAGAGACGGAGAGGCAGGGTGGAGAGAGAACCATTTTATAGACGCCGAGAAACAGGGGCAGAGAGTCGAAGATGAGGGAGAAAAAGAGAATGAGAAGACGCAGAGAGAAGAGGCGACAGGGACAAGAGAAGGCAAGAGGCGGCCGGGCAGCCGTGCGGCCGTGCGGCCGGTTCCTCCCCGGCGACATAAATCGCCCTCTCTTAGGATGGATGGGTCTGTAATTCGGAGCGCGGACCATGAAGGCCGGGACGAATGGGCCCGGGCGGCCGCTGACAGGCGACAATAGCCGGGCCCAGCCCCCCGCGGCTCCCGGTGCGGGCACGGCCGCGGCCCTCCGCAGCCCAGAGCGCGCCAGCGCTGGCGACCATATGGTTTTTGAATTTTCTTCACAATTTGTAGACAATTTGATGGATTAGGTCCCCGCGCGCGCCTCCCCGGCACAAAGGCGGCGCAGGGACCGCGGCGCGGCGGTCACCCGGGCATCTGCGCCCGCCGCGCACTCCTCCCCCCGCCCGGCCCCCACCCTGCGCCCGGAGCCCCCGGGCCGCCCGCCCAACACGCCCATGAATCCCAATGAAGCGGCCCTGGCACCTCCGGCCGCTCCGCGCTTCCAGGCCCTGGGCTGGGCCCCGCTGGGTCCCTTTGGGCTGGGGGCGGCGGCCCCAGGGCTGAGCCCACCCGAGCTGCGGCGCCCGCGGGGCGCGCAGCTAAGCAGGCGCATCGGGGCTGAGGAGAAACGGGGCCATTTATCCGCCCGTCTAGTTAAAGCGGGTTATTTGTTTGCTTCTCTGGCCTCCTCCCCTCCCCTCCCCCTCCCTCCCTCCCCCTCCCGTTTCCTTCTGCCTTTTATTCTTTTGTCTCTAAATGGATTTAATGAGCCTGAAAAACATGACAATTGAATATAACCAAGAAATAAAAAATAACGAGGGAGGAAGGAAGGAGGAAAAGAAAGAAGAGAAGACGGAAAGAGAAGGATTAACAAAATAAAGGGGGAAGTCGACTCCGCAGATATTTATTGTGTGCAGGTGCCTAGGGAAATTGAAACCAGGTAGATCTGGTCGCTGCCCTCAAGAAGCTCCCAATCTAATCTGGCGGCTCGGAAGCATTCGTGTTAGGAAATCGTCCATGACCTGAAGGGAAGCGCTCCTTGCAAAATGCTGAGACCCAACTTGGGGCTCAAGGGTGGTGATGGCTTCTTGGAGGAGGGGGCCTAAGACTCAGGCCGGGAGAGACGAACGAAAGTAATTCGTTGTGTCTGTCTGAGGGCTGGAAAGGAAATCGAGTTGAAGAAAAGAGTGGCCTGTGGAGGGGAGGGAGAGAGGTGTACCGAGACGGCAGCCCCGCTGAACGTAATTTTAGGAGGGTATCAGAGCCTCTCTGCTGTCACCTGGGCTCTGCTGAATTCTGAGCTTCTGCCCGGCTGCCGCTGGGCTTCTGAAGCGCTCCAGGGTGAGGCTACCCATGCCTGTCTCCAGCCACGCAGAGCTCGGCAGGTTAGGGCTCACCTCCAGGCTGGGTCAAGCAGCCGACTCTAGGGAAACTGCTATCTGTGGTGTGGCTGAGGGCTAAAGGGAGGCCAGGGCTCTAGCCCGCCATCTTCTTAGTTATCTAATGTCAGCACGCGGTCCAGGGGAGTTCAGATGGCCTTGGCCACCACCCGGGTCTTGCCTCTGGGACCTATAATGCAAGAGGGCCTTGAACTCCAGGTGACACCCCAGAGGCTCTCACAGGGTGACAGCGCGGTGAGGTGGTATGCTGTTAGCCCGCTCAGGAGTGGGCTCTGTGCAAGCTGGCCGCGGGCTTTGCCTATCTGTTTCTTCTCGGTGTCTGAATGTGACATGCATCGTGTGTAGGGCTCTGGACTCCACACCTATATTCTGGGTGAAGTTCGTTAAGGCCCGGCCCTTCACCCAGAGTTCCCTTAGAGCTTGGGAGCTTGGGATCAACGCAGATTTGTTTCCTTGGGGGTCCCGGCCCTGTGCAGACCCACTTTCGGTTCCTGGTTGAGCAAGGGAGGAGATCTGGCTTTGTCTCTCCCTTCTCGGTTGCGTCCCGGGACTTGGCGAGGCTTGTTGAGTACCGGGACGCGACCCGTTCTGTGGACAGAGCGAGCTGCGCGGCTGGAGCATGCCTCCTCTGCGCCTGCGGTTCCTTCCACCTTCCCCAGCGTGGTGGCCTGGCGGTCCGCGCCGGGTGAGGCCGGGAGGCGCAGTTCCTTATTTTACGAGGTGTCGGGCCAGTGTCAGACGCAGCTCCGATAAGTAATACTCCAGTCTGAGGGACCAGAACGTGGTAATTAATCCCAAAGACTTAAGTGTATTTTAGTTCAGGAGAAAAAAAATCACTAATTCAATCGTCCGGAAAATTGAAGTTTGATGCATGAGTCCCCCCTGAAAGGGACGGGCTGGGGCCTCACGTCTCCCCTCCGCCCCTGCCCGTTGCTGCGGGGACCCCCCCTCCCCACCGTTTTTTGAGCCAACCGGTCCAGGAAAGTTCACTCACCCAGCCATGCTGGCTCTCAGACACCAGAACCCAGGGACCCACAGCTTTTCACCCCACCCCACCCTAGCAAACACCCCCCCTTTCTTGGAACCCAGGAAATGTTTTGTGATGGAAGTACATTTAGAAGGGGACACAAGGGAGCCTCAAAGATATGAGGGGAGCGGCCAGATAAGAGGCCAGTGTGGGTGAGGTCAAGGGATGGGAGGCCAGAGGGGAAGGGACCGGGAACCCGAGTGGGCTAGAGTGAGGAGGGCCAGCTGCTACTGTACAGTAGTGAACCCCATGGGGCTTGGGGGGGTGAGTTGGTGGGCAAAACTGGCTGAGCTAAGCAGTGTGATTTGGATGCAGGGGTAAGCCGCTGTGTGGGAAATGGGTGCACCTCTGGATTATTCCTGTGCAGGTATGCAGGTCTGGCCTATGAGCCTGCCCCCAAGGCGTATCCATAGACCCAGCCTTCCAAAGGCTGTTAGGACCTAAGTGAAAGAAAGTGAGGTCCCTGGGCTTTGTTCCGCGTGGGGGTGGGAAAGTAAACCCTAGGTGGAGGAGCTTCACCACCTTCAGTCACACTTGGGGCTCCTCCCAGGCTCTAAGCTGCTCTTAGCAACCCACTCTTTCTCTTCCCCACAGTTGCCAATCCTGAAAGATACTTCGAGCGCATGCAGGGTGGGGTGAGGGCTGGGGCGCGCTGAGCTGCACTGAGACCAACAAGGCTGCATTTTTGAGTGTGCCATCCAAAGTGTGCAACTAGAACCTGAACATCTATGCAGCTGATTGATGGCAGCAGGGCTCCTGCAACTGGGGGTGACTGGGGGTACACCTCCATGGCCTGTGTAACAGATCATCACAAACTAGTGTAGGCAACTATGTGTGACTAAATGTGTGCTGAGGAGAGGAAAAGAGTAAAGCTGCTCCTGGGATGGGTATGACCCATATCTGAGCACTGCTCGGGTGCGTGGGGAAGCTAGTATGAGCAGATAGCCAGCAGAAAGAACTCAAGCACACACAAGTAGACTCCCAGCTATAAACTGCTGACATGGCTTAGGGAGATAGACCACAAAAGGGGAAAGGGCGGAGGGTACCTAGCCTGGGGGAAAGGTGGCTCACAAGAGGTGAGTGTACTCTGTGGGCAGTCGAGGCCACTGAGGAGTACTGTATGGGCTCTGCTTCCTTGAGAACAGGTT